AGAAGAAAACAATAACACCCCCCCCGCCCCCAAGAACCCACCACCTCTTTGGCGCTTCCATCGAGGCGGTCATCCTTCATTTCTTCTTTTCTTGCTTTCTGGAAGCAGTTAGGGAATGTATGATGAAGCAGAAATGAGCCGTCAGGATGATATTTTAATGGCTTATATGTCACGTTGGTGCATGTGGCTTTGAACTGGAGCAGCTTTCGTTTCCTGCAGAGAGCGCGCCGCAAATCCCACTTGATAACTTCTACAACCCACAACATTTTTTTTTTTTTTTTACATTCACTCTTACACTGTATATTTAGATACGCTTCCTAAAAATACCCTCTCGTCTGCCTTCTCGTATATTTTGCACCGACCTGGAATGATCACTGGGTTCCCTCTGCACTGAGAGGCAGGCTAGCCCTGGACTACCTAACTTTCTGGATCTCCTAATGACATCGCCCTGAAGATTTCACAATAACGCTGACAACTCCGTCCTTTGCTTAATTTTAGCGCCAAATACAGAAAGTAACGTAACACCCGCCGAAAGACCATGTCCACACACAGGCGCACTCCTAGAGCGTGTATACCTGTTGCTATAAGCCAGTGCAAATCCTTCGAAGGGATTTGGCAGAATAAATGCAAAAGTGTAGATTCAGAGCAGCATTATTCTGGGGGGGGAGGGGGGGGGGAACCCACCAGCAACCCAAACCCAGCCCTGTAAAGCCTCCCAAGATCCAAGGGAAATTACATAATACATCTGCTTTGAAAGCGATCTCCATGCACCGAGCACAGGCAAACTGCATCTGCAGATAAACTGCAGCGAAACATCCCTTCCAGGCGTATCAGAGTTTATTTGTTGTCTGTCTGTTTGTTTGTTTGTTTGTTTTCTAGGCGCAATGGCCAGTTTTATACCTCTCCAAACGAGGCGGTTCTCGCCCGGGAAGGGGTCGCGCAGCCCCGCTGCGGCTCCGGCTCCCCGGTACCTGCGCCGCGGATTCCGTACCAGCGCCTTCAATTAGGGGGGATGAGTTTAAAGTTTCTTTGTTTGGCACTAGGAATTGGAGGGGCTCGGGGTGAGCTGCGAAGGAGGCGAGTGAAGGGCTGAACAAAGGCGGGGTGGAAGGAGTCGGACTCTTAGCGAGCTTTTGGTGTTTTCGTTGCTAGAAAATAATTAGAGCTAATGAATATGCAGGCGACCGAGTAAATAAATAATTTGCCACTTTTATACATGTACACACACACGGGCACATATGTAAGTGTATCTATACATACGCACAGAAAGACGTCTACATTTTAAAGTTTCACGAGACCTTTTTTTTTTTTTTTTTAGTGCCGAAGCATCGTTTAAAATACGGTACAAATGTTGCTCAGCTTAATTGATTAAGCCACAAAGGTTTTCTGCTTTTAAATACCATACTTATACCTTTCAACAATCATTTTAATATATAGTCAATGGCTCTTTGTAGCGAGAACAAAAAAGAACTATCCGCAGTTTTTCAATAGACTTTGAGCTGGGGAAAGACAGGTTAATCGAGGGTTGCATCTAGAAAACAACCAAGTGTTGTATGTTTGCACTGAATCCAAATGTCTGCATTTTTCTAACTAAATCAAAGGGAGTGTTATTTCTTTTTCTGCTCACTCATCTGAAGGTAAGTAAATTTTCTCTGGCGATCAAAAGCCTGGTCAGCAACAAAGACACCGCCTGCTTTTTCCACCGTCCTGGTGTGGCAAGTTGAGGAATTTCAATAACTGTGACAAGGGTGACTGATTTGTGAACTAGAAAAGGTTTGAATGTCAGAAAATTTACATTGCTCCTATCGAGGATTTTAAATAATTTTTTAAACACACACACCCCCCCCCAAAAAAAAAAAGAGAGGGAGAGAGACAGAAGTATCCGAGAGTTTCATGCAGCAGGAGGAGAAACAATGTAGGTTTGGGAAATTTACAGTTCTACCTGAATGAAAGAGACCCCGTAAAAAGAGAGAGCGAGAGAAAGAGAGAGCGAGAGAGAAAGGAGAAAGAAAATAACAAAAAAGAGGCGAAACAACAACAACAAAAGTAGAAAGTTAAGAGTTCTCACCCACCTGCGTTTTGATGGGTGCAGAAAACAAGATTTATTTCAGAAACCTGACGGAGGGATAGAGTCAGCTACCCAGAGAAATCACGCCCGGTGTTTAAAAATAAAATCAAATGCACCCAGCACCTACTCTCGGAGAGCTTCAGTTTTAAACAAGCGGAAAACAGCAACTTCAAAAGGAGCGAGTCCCTACGGGACTTCTCTTTTCAAAGCCTAAAAAGTTGCTCAGTGATCTTAAAAATTCTGGATCACCAAGAAATCATCTTTACCATCATTACCAGAGTGCTGGGGAGAGAGGGACAGAGAGAGGGAGAGCGAGGGAGAAAATAACCCTAATAATAATCGAAGATTTTTTTTTTTTTTCTCCTTAGCACACAGTCACCCTCGTGGGCGGGGCCGGGGGGAGTTACGCGGGGAGGGGGGACCCGCCGCCGACCAATGAGCGCCCACGTCCGCCCGCACGTCGCTCCGCCCCCGGCTCCCATTCATCAAGGGGGGGGACGGTGTCGTCTTTTCAATTCATTTATCTGCAGGAATGATTGCCGCTATCAGTCTCGCGTTCACCGCCCGGCTGAGGAGGTGAAAGTTTCTCCCCAGGAAGATAAACCGCAAAAGACAATATTGTGCATGATTTGCGCCTTTTTTTGCAAAGCGAAAAAAAAAAAAAAGGCCCCCAAAAAAAAAAATCGGGGAGAGTGTGGGGAAGCTCGAAGAGGAGAGAGAAACAAGCTCTCGGCCACTTTGCAACATTCCTATAGCCAAAAAAATCACTGAAGGAAGTTTCTTTTTTGTTTTGTTTTTTTGCTGCCCGTGTTGATATCTCTCCGTTATTGTTATTTGCAGCCGGTTTATTTTTGAGCCCACCCAACCCCCCCCTCCCCACTTAAACCTCCCTGAAAAGTCCAAGCAGAGAGACAGTGAATATTTTTTGGGGCACATTTTTATTATTATTATCTGCAACTGCGA